GAGAAAGCTCATTTTCGAAGACTGGATACTTGGCAGCTTCTTATATTTCGAGCAGCAGGGAGCAAATTGTGCAAGACTGTGAATTATGAAGAATTTAAGAAATAGCTGTCATTTTTAAGACGACATCCCCTGTGTGACGGCCGACTCATTGCTTAGTGTTAAAGGGGCCGTATTATGTTCATTTTCAGGTTCATATTTGTATGGTGTGCGTCTACTGGGACATGTTTACATGCAGAGTTTTACTTACTTCAAAAAATTGTAATAAAAGATAAGCTTTAGAGCCATAAAGCACTGCCTCGAATCAAATAGAGAAAACACAAAGAACATCTAATTGCAGACGATAAGATACATTAACCCTCTGTGGGATTTGCATGATTGCTGTCTCCATTTCATCATTCTAACCTATGGCAAACACACACATGTAACACGACCACAATCTGCCAGGCTTTACCTTCCCTCCCATGGAAACATGTATTCAAGTCGGCTATGATTAGCAGGCCTCGTCGGCGCGCTCCATACGTGTCAAGTGATGCAAAGGAAGTGATTTGTGGTCGAGCATATATTATTTATGGTAAAGATAAAGAGATGAATGAAGTGAGAGCGAGCCATAATGCTTATTCACAGGAGGAAGGTTTGTCCTGTGTGCAAAAGGTATAGCCTTATGCATATTTTACTAAAGAGAATACTAGCATTAATAAATACTCTCTTGAAGTGCATATTTCCTTTTCAGGGCAGCTAACAGCCCTTAAATGCCAGATGAGATGCTGGATCAAAGAAATCCACCTGCAGTGCATTAACCACAGCCAGGATTAGGTAATGCTCCTCCAGTTCACCCCCATCGCGGCTTAGTCACCGCTGACACACCCACACAAACATGTCAGGGATTTTGGGATGCCAAAACACTTTTGACAACCAGGGAGCGTTCAAATAGTTGTCTATACCTATCCTTCCTTTCTTTTCCTTTGCTTGCTCTTCCTATGCATTTAAATGTACCATGTGTTGTGGAATATTTTCCAAGGCCCATAACTTTGACCCAGTTTATCAGTTCAAACTGTCCTGACTGAGCACACGCACCTCGTAACCTTGGCTGCTGTGCTCTCAGTGTTTTGTCTCCCTGTTCCTGCCTGTTGGCGTCAGCTGATAGAGGTGTTATGGTTTTATCTTGTTATGCAGCATGTTGAAGATGCTCTCAGAACTAGCTAAATACACGGGTCTGAGGTAGAGTTCTTGAGAATTGACGTGGCAACTCTACCGTGAAGTCAGAACCTCTGGCTCTTAGATTTGTGATGTGAATTCTCCGGCCGAAACTCCAAATAAACCATCAGTGTTTGACATCAAAGCTCCTGCTCCACCGTGTCTCCTTCCTGAGTCGGTGACTCCCACTGCATTGCTACACAGAAGTTTCCCTTACACTATGAAGGTGCTTAAGACCACCAAAAGACACCAATTACCACGTTGATCTTTTCCTCTTCTTCTTCGAGTCCATAGCAATCTCAGATGTCGTTCTGCCAGTATCGGGCACAGGCCACAGCTGATGGGGTAGGTTCTGCCAGGTCTTCTGGACTGCACCGGGGGGCATCGGCACATTCCAGTAGGTGGGACATTGTCTGCACTGATCCACAGCTGCACGTGTCTTCTGTGGTGTAGTTCCACACTTTCCACACGCAGTCTATTAAGTGACTTCCAGGTTGTCCAGCCAAGGTCGTGGCCACTAGCGAGGCTTTCCGTTGGTGTGATTCCTCTGTCCAGCCATTCTTTTCCTCTGACGCACAGGAAACCGCATGCAAAGGAAAACTGACCCAGAAGGGCTAAGTGCAGCCATGATAAAAGATGTTTGGGTTCTCTAGATCTAAGGAACGTTGCTTCATTGCTTCCTTGTGTGTCTCTATTAAAGGAAAAGCCTTCCCACAATACTTTGCGGCAGGGTCATTTAAAGCAACAATCCATTCGGCCGCTGCAAATGTCAGCTATGGATTAATTGAAAACATCCTTCTTAGTAGACGTGATTGTGTTTTGGACAGAAAATCTGTACAGTACTAAATGTGTCCCTACACTTTTATATGTGCTATAAATAAAGTCACACACATAAGTAAGTGATTGTCATTTCTTAAGTCCTCCTTTGTAACTTTCCTTGACGTTTTCCAACGAGATCAAGGAAACGTGGTTAGTAACGCAGCCTAAAAGAGAAAAAGGAGCTCAAGGAGAGGGGCTGAGTGTTGCAAAATGACAGCAGTAATCCATCAGAAATCAGGCTTTGCTTCTGCAGAGCACAGCCCACCACTGACTACCTTTCAACCCGGCGCATCCTGCTGCGCCGCGATAGGACGAGAGCGGAACGGACGCCGCTAATTGGCTTGCATCCCTGTCGGATTTCCACATCCAGACAGAGGGAGAGAGAGTGGGGGAGAGGATATATATCATGTTGTATGAGGATTTGTAAACGGAGGATCAAAACACCCAGCTTTTCATGTCCTTTGAATTGTCGGAGGGGCGGTGCCGCGCTGGGAGCCGAGAGCGACAGCCGAACATTGATCCTGAGTGAGTGACGCGACAGACGGGACTCAGGAGGCCTGGTGGGGCGGCGGAGCAGTGACACACACAGGGACTGTTCACACACTCAAGATGCACAGAAGAAACAACTGGATGTCACTTGGGAGCACTTGATAACAAGAGGATGTTAGTCACAAGTCCTTCAAACACTGACCTCCTGATGTTGAAGCCATAATATGTATGATCCGGACACAAAAACTATACGCTAGAATGAATGCCACGTGAGAGCACGTTACTCTGAGATAATAATATCTTTGGCAGAGGTTTTATTGAAATGAGAGATGTAAATATCCTTGTTTGATAAAGACATGTGAAACCTCGGACCAGGTTTCCCTCTTTGTTCTGCGGGAGTGTGCGGATGTGAGAGTGCAGAGCCCCAGTGTTAGTCTTTCTGCGGTCTGTCAGTGGCGCAGCCCCCGAGGCTACGTTACAGGGCTTCACCGCTGACAAGACAGGCAGCCCCCCTCTCTGAGGAAGGTCTGAAGGGCACCGCCGTTTGTCTCGGCTCGTTTGGAGAGTCGAGGAGAACATCTGAGGGCATCTCACTGCACGTGCAGGGTGAGAAACCTGCACATTGTAGGATTTCAATCATATCACAAGATTTTCATCAGCCAAATTATCCTGGATGTAAAAAATTGTAAATCAATTAAAAACGTGACTGTATGTAACAAAATTAATATTTAAGGATCACAGATGGATTTAGCAAAACACAAATGTTGCCACAGCAAATGTGATCTCCAGAGGTCACCTCACACCCATCTGTTTGCAGTACACTGCCGACAAAATCAACTCGCTCTTCAAATACTGCCGCGGCTAAACTAAATATTTACATCCGCTGAAAGGACGGGGCTGATTTCCAGCGTGTTGTTGTGCGAGCTGCCGTTACACACACTTCCATTGCATTGAGGTCATATGTTTATAATTTGCCCTTTTCCTAATGCTGCCTTTGGAGTAAAATAACATTTGAGAGCAGCAATTAGATTGAACCGTGCAATACTCCGTCTAATTAAGTCATACTTCAAGTTCAATAACGATCAAGCCGGCCAGATAAAGGCCAGGGAGAGAGAGGGGGTAGTGTGTGGAGCAACAATCTGCAAGCATTTTATACAAGACTGCTATTGTTTAGTCAGAAAAGCACTCAGACGCTGAGCTGGAGGGAGCAGTGGGCTGCTGAGGAGTGCTTTCTGATGACTGTGCAAACAGGGAGAGGAGAAGGTGTGTGTTTACATGCATAGACCTGCAAGACGGTTTTAAATAATAATATCCAGGGCATTTTCACAACTCTCCTAGAACCAGGAGAAATGCTGCATTATTCAGACATGCTTTAGCGGCATCCAACATGTTCAACTTTTTGGATGTAAAAACTGTCACTATCTCTATTTCCATCACAATTGGGTTTACAGTGAGGTCATTTTTTAATTACTATGCTGTTACAATGTGCTATGTATAAAATGACTTAGGAACGTAGGAAATGTTTGTGGAGTATAGATGCAGAGATTAAACATATAAACACAATCTGTCACACAGCTAGCAGTCTCGGCTCCTACAAATTCTGCTGCGGAGAAGCAGCAGGAGCTCAATCTGTGACTATTTACGATACAGAGTACTTTTTATTGGGGAAACGACGCTCACCTGTGTGTCCTTCACTTTGCCCTTCTCCTGCCTGTCCTACTCTGCACTACCTAACCATGTGAACATCTCTTCCATTACCACCCTTGACACTGAGGCCGATTGGATTCTTATCTGCCATCGGTAGGCCGACGCTCAGCCTGCGCTATCTCTCGCAGCAGCCTAATTGAATCTCAAGTGTTGGGAGTGCAGTGATACACTGACCACACCGTGTCACTGCCAACAGATAAGGCTGGCTGCTGGAGGATTGGACCCCCACAATCACGATGGGGACGCGTTGATAAAGCGGTGACAAGCTGCTCTGGTTGGTCCGGTGTCGCTGGGACTTCGCTTGGATCGAGAGATAATGGATACCCTCCATTACGGCGAAGGTTGTGTTCATACCCAATAGTCCCAAATCCCATAATCCAGCTTGGCTCGGTGGGTAATTTGTTGAAACAGAACCAGGGGGAAAGTAGGGCAGCTTTTTTTCATCGATATCTGTATAAAATGTACCGTTTACAGGACTCATTGTATTTCTTGTATGACCCTGAACCTGCAGATTGCTTAGTTTGAACACAAAAACAAAAGTAATGTTTGTTGTTGATGCTCCAGGAGGACCTTGGTGTTTTTTGAGTTAGTGATGAAGACAAGCCTCATTACCTGCTCCGTTTGAGCTCCCATTTTTCTTGTTAAGCAGGTGACCTTTTCAATTTAGAGAAAGGGAGGCGCCGTCATGGCAGACTTTGGAGATGCTTAATTTATCACCGACTAAACAAAGAGTCACCTTGATGGAAGGAACTTTAAACTAGTAAGAAGAACGTATTTAAAGATGTTCCTACCTTAGGAGGCCAAATCCTTTCTTTTTGGTCTTCTTCTCCGGATCATCCACAGACTCCTTCTTCGGTTTGCTCTTTTTCTCCTTCTTCTTCCCTTTAGTCTTCTTCTTCTTCTTTCCGTCGTCTACGTCCAGGCGAGTGGAGCTGCTGACGGGAGTTTCTTGCCCGGAACTCTGCTCTGAGCCGTCATCGTCTGAGGAAGTGTGAAGGGCAGAGATGGCAGTATATGTGTGCAGCATGCATGTACTGTGAGGAATCTGATCAGCAAGCTAGTTAGTCCTCTGTTCTCCCAGTGCATGGAGGAGGCCAGAGGCAAAGCTCTACACCTGGAGCAGTCATTTTCACTTGCCTTAGTTACATTTGGCATCTATTTGCCAAATCCAAGCCAAGAACAGCATAAGTGGTTCTGTTTTATAGTTTGATGTTTCATCTAAAGTGTCAGAACACCTGCTAAGGACAGATATGTACTTAATTGACATTCCCCGCCAAATGTTGTCACAGTCAGACTTGTGCAGGCAAACAAATGCAGGTCCTTTTTCATCACCAAAGTCTGTCATTTTAGCTCACACATAGTATCATTTCCTCAGTAATCACATAGAAGTCGAACACACAGATGTTTGACGTCTTTTGTGATTACTGAGGTAGAGCCTTACAAAAATGATGCTACTGTATAATATTAAGTTCCAAAATTGCTGAGTGGATAGAATCATCTAGCATTTCATTAAGGCTAAGCACTGTCCCTTGGCAGGCCTCTGGCTCTTCTTGAGCACCAGTGTGTTAAAAAGCCTGAGGGATGTGCCTTGGCAGTGTAGGGTCTAATTAAAAAAGGGATACAAAGTCTAGGAAATAGTCTCAAACATTTCAAAGGAACACTCTCTAAAGTTGTGTCTTGTTGTAAAGTCTTACCATCCTCAGAGGGTCCGTCGTAGGACTTGTCGATGGCGAAGCGAAAGCTCTGGTTGGCGGCCCGGCCCCGGACCATGTGGGGCGGCGGGCGGTGGAAGGGCTGCTGGGCGTGGCTGCGGCTCTGCTCCCTCACCGCCGTCTGAAGGCTCTCCAGGGAGCTGGACTTCCAGAGGCCGAGGGTGGGACCCAGCGCTGCTCCAGCTGGAGGCTCTGAGACGCAGAAAGAGAGAGAGGGCGGGGGGCAGTGAGCGATGAGGTGGATGGATGTGAAACAAGAAGGGAGGGAGAAGGGAGGGCAGAACAATATTTTGCCACTGATGCAAAGAGACAGTATGAGTTAGTGACTGGGTCTGGATATCTCAGGCTTTTAGCTACGTTTCCCACACACACATTAATTCATATTTTAAATCATTTATAAAATATATTGATATCTTGCAGTCACCAGGCTTTCAAGATCACCTAAGTGTAACCTGATGGATATACCTTTTTGGAATGAGGCTTTAAAAAGGTTCAAACTCAGAATATGAAGCTATGAAGGTAGCAGAAAGCAGATGTGAGAGGATGGAAACAGGCTTAACAGAAAGAGTCCTATAGGAGCGACATAAAGGAGGGGGATAAAGGAGGTGGAGTGGTACAGGCACAGGTGAACAGACAGGCTCATGCAGAAGCAGAAGAGAGGGGGAATACATTATCTGCCACCATACAGAACTCAGGAATGGCCTCCAAATGGGGAGGGCAAGAAAGGGGAGACGAAGGAGCAGAAAAGTGTTGAAAAGCACCGCTGACTCAGCAGGGGGTCGGAGAGGAGGGAAGATTTGAGGAAATGCAGAGCTGTAGGAAAACTGAGACACTGAGAGAAAGCAGTGAATGTCATGCAAGGTGTGAGGAGTTGGTGACCAAGAGATGTGGATGAAAAACCCAGAACAAACCATGTATAACAAAGAAACGGTGACTTTTCAGATCAGTTACAGACAAGTTTTTTGTCCAGAACTTTCCTGTAGGGATGACTTTCTCGCATCATGGCACTCGCTGCTTAAGACATCATTTTAAAGGCTTCAAAGCTCGGAAGTGGAGCAGGAAAAAAAGGGGGAAGTGAAGCGGCAAAAGAGGAAGGGGGGCAGAGTAAGCGGCTGCCTTTTAAGTCCTAAATTGACTTTCTGAGAGGAAGTGGGATTTATAGGGAATAAGGGGTTATAAATAGAGAGGGGGGGCGCGCAGGAATAAAACGCTCAATTTGAGAGGCAGGATTTGTGTCACAAATGTAATTACGGCTGTCCGGCTCGCAGCCTGATAGAATTAAGCTCCTTGCCAGCGCACTGCTGCACTATACACAGAGAAACTGTGTGTGTCTGAGAGCGTGGGCATGTGTGTGTGTGTGTGTGTGTGTGTTGAGCATTTTTGGTCCGATGAAAAAAAAAAGTCATGATACTGCCTGTGTGAGATAGTGGTGTGTGTCCTTGACGATGAAACAGGAAGTAATATGATCACTTTTGCTAGTTTGAGTGTGTGAGGCTTTGGGTGCCCTCTCCATGCATGTCAGGCGGTGGAGGCTGGAGGTAAATGAATAATGAGGGTGAGGATGGATGAGTGGGGGAGAGGTGGCTATCATCGCCAGCTCGATCCAATGGAGGGTGAAATCAGCGTTTATCACATATCGGCGCCCGCTGTGCCAGCAGATGCTCTCGTGGATCCGTTCTAATCACGTCCGCCTGATTGCCACTGATTCAAGCTGGTGCACATATTTGACAAACAGCCTTACAGCCAAACAGGGCGATGCCCTTCACAGCTGTAATGCTCCTCCACCCTCCTCACTTTGTTTGTTGATCAAAGTCCGAGGACTTATTCTGGGCGTCACGATTTCAGAAGGACAAGGCTCGGAGTAATTTGAAGGCTTGAGTGGTGATGGAAAATATCTGATACAAAGTTAAGTTCATGCCTGTGTTAATATAAACTCCTTTGGCGGGAACTTTGGGGTTTTAGCATAGACATTTAAAACACAGTACAGGGCAGGGGAAAACTAAAAGCAGAATAGGGCCTCTTTAAAAAGGAAAACATCAAACGGTAATCTACAGTATGAACATTTTTGTTACTATAAAACAATACTTTTTAACTTTTGATAGATGTGTGGCTTCTGTGAAATCTGTAGTAAGACTTCCTTAATGCTGAAAATGTTTTTCTAAAACAATGAACCTGCCAATTACCGCTTTAAATGGCGTTTGCATTTCACACTAAACACCCACTCAGAAGCCCACCCATGCTGACATACTGTAGCTGTATGCACAACAATGGGCACATGCCAACATCCAGCTACACACACACCTCTCAGCTGAGCAGTGAAGTGCCTGGAATGTAGCCTTGGGCTCCTGCTGTGCTGACAGCGCTGCAGGATGAACACCGCTCTATTTTCTATTCTTTAAAAGGTGTTACCTTAAAAGTGAGACACAGCTGTATGTGTCTCTCATATTGCTTCATGGGTTAAAAATAAATCAATAATGATTTTCTGTGTGAATAGTTTTCTCACCACTTCCGAACCAAAATTGCCTGCACACAACTTCAATTATCTCAACCAATGAACACGAGAATAAAGACAAATCAGGCTTAGTCATACCGACCATTTCTGAAGTATTCATACATCAATCAGATGTATGCACACATACTGTACACATGTGTCTCCACACACAACCGCACACTGCAGAGCCCTAAATACTGCACTCAAGGGCTGCAGGGCTTTTTGATTATACTTTTAAATAGTTGTTTTTTCTATCAAATATGAATAACGCTAATTCTCGAATGTCTTGTCCATAAATCAAATATAATCATAGAGTAAAAAAAACTACCAAATATTCTCATTTAAGAGTCTAGAATCAGAGTAATTAAAAAAAAAATCCATAAAAGTGCACAAAAAACGAATACAAATGTTATGGGGACTTCTTTTTAGAAAACTAAATCAATTCTACTGCATGTCTAATATCCAATCAACTTGTCTTATTTTATTAATTAGAATGGTCATTGTTGCAGCAGTCAAATAACACACACCCCAATTTAAACCCTGTGCACACAGTGTCTCAGCGGGTTCTTAACACTTGCCCATCAGCTGGACTACAATGTGCTCCACAGCGAGCAGCGCCGCAGCACACTGGCTGAAAGGTTGCCACGGTTACAAGAAAGTGCCCCCTCCAGCGTGGGGGGGGGGGGGGGTGGTACAGAGGTGACGGTGAGTTGCCAAGGAGACACTTTAGCCAACAGTAACACACACACACACACACACACAGGGTTGGGTCCACACACACACACTTTCCCATCTTGTACATCCAATCTCAGGACAGGCAAATAAAACATTGTGTAAAACAGGCACCGACCTGCACCCTTCTATAAAAACCCATGTCACACACAAACACACACACACACACACACACACACACACACACACACACACACACACCTGTAAAACAAAGCCTGCTTTAAGTGTGGCCCTGTTCCTCAGAGGTTACTGAATCTAATCCAACAGAAGCGTTAAACACACCGTTACAAGACGAGAACGGCCCCTTCCTCTGTTACACCGTTTCCATAAAAGCTCAAGAGGAGCCTTACACATGTTGAATTACAATAGCCATTAACAAATCTCATCTCAATGAATGTTTATGAATGGATTTAAGTCCTTTTTTAACTACACGGAGAAATGCACAAAGCACATAAAGGTCTCTCGTGTGGCCGACCCTCCTTGGCTTCACCTTAGATTAAATGTACTGAAGATTTACTGCAGCCAACCTCTATGATGACATATTTGACGTCTGTGGAGTAAAACGCACACGTGGCATGACGCATATGGAGGCATTATTCAAGTTTTCAAATGGTTTCTATGGAAGATACGCAAGTACTTATGCTGATTTTCCTATTCTTATTCTCTGAAAACTTCGAGCAGCGGCTCCTGGACATTAACTTATCACTGGGACAGTTCATCTTCGTAAACAGACGGAGGGTTTCAGCCATATTTCAACATTTGTACGAAGACCTCAGTCTTACAGTAGCGTGGCCTAGCAACAGCTAAAGCCTGGTAGGCTACTGCATGCTATTTAGCTTAAGCTAGTTGGTAGCAAAATGCCTCCGTTCTCTACAGATGACATCCACAAACTTATACAGAAGATGGCTGTGTTGGAAATGAAAATGCAACGGTTGGAAGTTAACGTGGAAGTGAATGGACTATGTCGTGGGAATGACACCACTTTACCAGTGTTGCAAAATAATGGAAAAGGGTATGCTAACTCACAGCTAGTTAGCAGCTACAAGGATTCCAAGGAACAGGAGGGCTGTGTACCGGGTAATACATCTACAAGTGGTAGTCCTCCCTGGAACTCTCTGGGTGCAAAGAGTAAATCACTTCCATGGGATTTGGGAGGACGGATAACAGGCAGAGCCCAGCGCTCTGAAATCTGTGATGCGACCGGCTGGCCTGCATTGTTATCACCCAGGAAGAGCGCCTCTTCAACCCCTATTCATACTAGGAAAGGCAGACCGTATAAAAGTTAGCGCTGAGCTTCAGTGTGCAATGTTCAAAACAACAGATAAAGCCAGAAATCTAGGTGTAGTCATGGACTCTGACCTGAGTTTCAACAGTCACATTAAAACTGTTACTAAATCAGCCTACTATCACCTAAAGAATATATCTAGGATTAAAAGACTAATGTCACAGCAGGATTTGGAAAGACTTGTCCATGCTTTTATCTTCAGTAGACTCGACTACTGCAATGGTGTCTTCACAGGTCTCACTAAAAAATCTATTAGAAAGCTGCAGCTGATTCAGAACGTTGCTGCTCGAGTCCTCACTAACACTAAGAAAGTGGATCACATCACTTCTGTTCTGAAGTCTTTACACTGGCTTCCTGTGTGTCAAAGAATAGATTTCAAAATACTGCTGCTGGTTTATAAAGCACTGAATGGTTTAGGCCCAAAATAAATGTCTGACCTCCTGCTAAATTATGAACCATCCAGATCTCTCAGGTCTTCAGAGACTGGTCAGCTTTCTGTCCCCAGAGTCAGAACTAAACATGGAGAAGCAGCGTTCAGTTATTATGCTCCAAATATCTGGAACAAACTCCCAGAAACCTGCAGGTCCGCTGCAACTCTGACTACTTTCAAATCCAGACTGAAGACTTTTCTTTTTGTCGCTGCTTTTAATTGAACTATTCATATCTTAGACTGCACTGTAACTTTGATCCATGTATTTTTTCTTTTAATGTTTATTTTATTAGCTTTTATTTTAAATGCCATTTTCTTAATGTCTTTCATTTTTTGTAAAGCACTTTGAATTGCCTTGTGTTGAAAAGTGCTATACAGTATAAATAAACTTGCCTTGCCTTACTTTAAAAAAGGTAAAAGTCCTTAAAAATAGGAATAATGTAGACTATTGTCAGTTTTGTCCTTTAAACAGTTAATAATGTTTCATCACAGCGGTGGAAAACAGAACGCCATTACTGCTTCAAATGTTTTCCCGTCATACGACAAACTTCACTCCAAACTAAATCACTTCCGACCACTGTTTATCCGGTCAAAGCAAATCCAATTCATGTTATAGCCAATCAAAACTCCACTCCAATTAAAGGGCTGTCCGATCATTAGGCATCCCTGCGTCTCTGTCTGACTGCACTCAGCTGCATCAGAGGCTGGGTGGAGGCGCTGCTCTGCCAGTAATTGGGTTTAGCTGTTTGGATGTATGAGAGACGGGGGACATATGGGCCGTATGTATCCAGCCTGCGAGTAGATGAATGGCTTTAATAACTGGAAGGGACTTAAAAGGCCATTTCATAATTACTGCTTACCTCTGCTGGATCACCGCAGCGCAGGGGGCTGGCAGGGTATGGATGAGGGCTGGAGCGCGCTGTGTGGAGCGGGACATGTGCCATTTGTACTGTAAACGTGCGGCGGTGGGCATTCAGGGGGAACTGCTGAGTCATTGAAAACACCTGGTCCAAAACTGACTTTGGATCACTTACTTGCACCAAATATGCAGAATTTTAGACCTGATATGACTATATTATAAAAAAAAATAAGCCTTAATAGAGTCATGGGCAATTAGACAGGATCCAAGAAAGTGGTAGCCTCGAACACACCCAAACACAGAGAGAACAGGCAGCAGCAAGTTAATGAGCAGCTACAGTCAGAGGCAGCAGCACCCTGTGTCACTTCCATAACTTCACACACTGCACCTTGTTGCCTAGAGGTCTCAGGTGACAATGTGAAAAAAGCAGACTTGGCTCAGGAAAGGGAAGGCAAGCTAAGGAGGCAAAGTTACATGGCACACAAACAAAGCGTGTGAAAACAAAACAGAGGCTTCAGAGCTGGCAGGGAGCCGGCCGGTTCTTGAGTCTCCTTGTGCAGAGAGAGAAACAACGGAAAACACACGTACTTAGAGAGGCTGCATTCGAATCCTCTGCACTAGCCTAATGCTTATGTGTGTGTGTGTGTGTGTGTGTGTGTGTGTGTGTGTGTGTGTGTGTGTGTGTGTGTGTGTAGGTGTGTGTGTGTCAGGTGTGTTGTAAGAGGGCACTAGCTAGCAGGGGAGTTGTTAGACTCTAAGGGAGAAAAATGAAGGGATGAATGAAGGCATATTTGTCCATTACTCCTCTGGTGATCTCACACACGTTCACAAGATACACTAAAAGGGGGATTTTCTCGTAGAGGAAACACCCGAGACTGGAGCATGTTCAGCATAATCACATGAGGCTGGAACAGCAGCGGAGGATTGAAAGAGAGAATAACAAAAAGGATGAGAGAGGAATTAGAGGAAACTTAAAAAAGGGGATGAGCCTGGCGACAAAGAGAAGGAGATGGAGAGAATAATCAAGACAGAAGCAACCAGGAAGATGAAAGGCAAAAAAAGAAAATTGGCAATGGAGACTCCTCAGACTGGAGAATCATGGGAAAGAGAGAGGGGCAGCAAGTGATGGAGCTGGAGGGAAGTGGAGTGCTCGTCGCAGCCAGAGAGAAAAAGGGTTTTAGCCAGATTAAAGAAGCCAGGCAGGCCTCTTAAGACCATCCGCCTAATGAAATATGTCAAAGCCCATAAAGAAACACTGAGGCCATTTAGGGAGGAGGGTGGGGCGAATGCACTGCGTCAGCAAAAATGAAAACCACGCAAAAGCCCCGTCGATACACATTAGCCAAGACGTCAAAGGGGGAGATGAAAAAGAAAAAGGAACACTGCGGCGGCACAGGGATGGATTTATATATCATAAGGGTTACGGGCGCTGATCAGGAATGCCAGGAAAATCATGGCAAGGAGGGAGGAGGGGGGATTTGAGGTCACCAACAGTGCTCAGGTTATTTGTATTCCGCAGGCAACAGGCTTAGTTGGCTTGATGCAGGTGGATTCAAGAGATCGGTGTACGTGAGTGTGTGTGTGTGTGTGTGTGTGTGTGTGTGCCTGTCTTCCAACATCAGGACTGAAATGCTAGTCATGATTCCCCTCCTCTTATATAAGCCTCGTTGCAGTGTCTATATACAGCGCCCTGCTCTAAATGAGACGCTGCTGAACTCCACAATTAAAATCTTCTGCAAACCCCACTGAGCATGCTCGCTCTCTCCAGCAACACTCAGATGTATAATCATGCTGCTGGCCACTGAGGAAGGATGGAGCACTTCTATGTGACTCAGTGGGAAGTCATGGTGGCCTTGTCTGCTCCTATCACAGCACAAACTGCTCCGACATGCAGCCGCGGTGCTTTCAAAAACAATATGGATTTAGGACATTTGGTAAGACATGATTGGTGTTTATTTATATTGTATGGAACAAATAGTCTTTTGAACAATGTAAAGACATAACAAGTCTATAGATAAAGAGTAAAACAATACTGTAAAACAACATGTTGTGACTTTGCTACAGTCCTTTTGCTGTCGCTGGTATAACTGGAGGAAATGAGACGGATATGTAATATTGCCTTCAGATTGCTCAGTCAGAAATATAAAGTGCTTCCATTCTTGGGAGTGAATCATATCCTTTGGACCACTACTGTGAAATGCCACAGTAAAATCAAACCTACTTTATATTGTACCTTTAACTAGACTTTTCTCATATAAAACAAGAAAGGGAATTAAGTGTAACTGGAGCAGATTGTGATGCGATACGGCGGCTGTCAGCTGGGCGAGGATTGAGCGCTGTGGGCCTGCTGACCTGGACGGCTATAAAGCAGCGAGAGCTCCGACACTAAGTGCTTCACAACTCAACTTTGTCAGCCGGGTGCGGAGGGAGAGGGGGCAACATGGGAGAAAGGAATCAAGAAAATGCATAAGAATAGAGGAGGAGAAACTGGAGAAAATGGGACTTATTTAAGTTTGTAAGAAAAAGAGATTGGAGCAAAAGAGGCATGTTTTAAAACATACCGTTCCTCTGCCCGACCATTGATCCCATGTTGCTCTCATCCGCCACTGAAAACACACAACAGCACAGTTAATAACCCATACTATTGCCTGCTACACATACTTTAATATGGAGCAGCTTTGTGTTCTGTGTAAATGGTTATAATGCGTGTTGCTCCCTGCAGAAGAAGACGGAGGAGGACGAGTCAAAATGAGACGGACTGAAAAAGGAAATTAAACCAGAAGAAAACCACAAGAAAGAGTGATGATATTGAGAAAATGAGAACAGATAGAGGTGAGGGAATGAGAGAAATAATATAGGGGGGAAAAAGGAAACCTCCACCTAATCTAACTAAACAGGACTGGGTCGCGCCGCCACAGGCTGGGATACAATAATAGGTTTTCATTACGCTGCTTTTTCTCTTAAAGAATCCTTTTCATTTTTTACGAGGTCAATTTTCCCCGGCGGGATGGAGAGAAATGAGAGGAAGGGAGTTATGGAGGGACGGAGGAGTAAGAGAAAACAAAGACAAGCAGCACGGAGTGATGGATGGAGGCGATAAGGTGTCCGCACATCACAAGAGCTTGCTAAATAAAGTCCTGCACAGAAACATCTGTAGCTACCAAGACAAAGAAATACTTTTCCTGTGCACACGAGCAAGATCAATGAACTTTTCTGTGGGGAAAGATAGGAGCTTTGTCTCAAAATGTAGAAACCTTATAGTGTTATATATATGCACAACACCTGATAACTGTATCCTGGAAGTGAATTCAACGAAAGTCTTAATGCTTCGGAGGCTGGTGGGCTATCAGGGATAAACTCCATTTGCTCTTTTATGGATCCATACTGTCCCTCTATTACACAAACAATAACCTGTAACACTGCTGGGGAGATTGTTTTTTTATTATGCGCCATATTGGAGCGTCATGGTCTGCCAGTTAAGAAATAAAAAGCATTAAGAGATGCAGACTTCTCGACTCGCTTTATCAATGCAATTTGGTTTGTGTTAAAAGCCCTTTATGTTCATTTTCGGGTTTGTATTTTGTTCATCTACTGTGACGGGTTTACATGCTTTAATGTTCAAAAAGATCCCTATCCTAAAAGCTCAGATGTTTCAATGCACTTTGAGCATCTTAAAGCCAATATAGGCAGAGCATTTCCCATAACAGACCGTAGCTTTGTAGTCTAATAAATGCATTAGTTCCCATTATTGCAAGTCAAAAGTAAGAGAGCAGAAACATGTTTTCCTTTTGCTTCCAGGCACTGGTAGCTGTAGAATCAGTGACTCGACTGTTCACCTCTGCATCAGCAGGCGGTGTGTGTGTGTGTGTGTGTGTGTGTGTGTGTGTGTGTGCGAGTGGAAGCCCTGAGTCAACAGAGTATTTGCTAAGGCATCCAGGGTTAATAAAGGAAGCTCACCTCGTTCTGTCAAGTGGCGTTTAATAAAAGCTAACCTGCTCTGCGGCTAAAGCTCAGATACAAGCAGGCGTAAAGACTGACGTGTGGGAAACCCTCCAGAGGAAGGAGAAGAAAAAGCTCTTTAAATATAAAACATGTAGACAGGGTCAGCATCTCAGGGCTCCTATGTGATCCTGTCATCTTTACACACACATACACACACGCACTGCTTACTAGCCATGTACTTTAGACAGGGAAGAGATGGATAGAAGCAGGGCGATAACACAGAAACAGATTGAAATGGAGGACGGCCAGAGATGGAGATAGAAGCCAGAGAGGGGAGGCTGCTTATTGGAATGGCTCCTCAGTGGGATGGAGGGAGTGTGTGTGTGTGTGTGTGCGGACCACCCTTGTCCATAATGAAAGCCAATCAGCTTGGGTGGCAGAGGCGTGTGCTGCAGGAAGAAAGCCAATCCACTGAACCTAATGAACCGCGATTGGAAATCAGAGAGGCAGAGAAGAAGAAGAAGAAGAAAGTACTGAAGGAGATAAACAAAAAATATCCTGATAACAAGAAGGAAATCAGAAAGTAAGAGATGGAAAAAGATTGTAGGGAAAAAGAGGGGGGTACGGGGGTCAGCTCGGGTTAATACGAGGAAATAAGCCCCATCGTTCTCGCCTTCCACTCACACGGTGAGATTGCGTCTCGTTCACACACAAACACACACCAGACGGCGTGTCCTTGCAGCTCGTTGGAAAGCCCCCGGGTTTCTGAGTTCAGGAGGTCGAACCCCTCAGGCCGCAGATAATAGGGGAGGGGGTTACGTATCACAACAAAGAAATGTAGTGATAAGAGCATGTGATAGTGTTGTGGTTGTTTGTGTAGACTTACTCCTTGATTGGACTCGTATGTTTTGGTTGGGTTTGTGTTTTCGCTTCGGAAAATGCTTTCAAGCTGGCGAACAAGAGCTCCTTTCATCGATGAAGAGCTGTGTGTGTGTGTGTGTGTGTGTGTGTGTGTGTGTGTGTGTGTGTGTGTGTGTGTGTGTGTGTGTGTGTGTGTGTGTGTGTGTGTGTGTGTGTGTGTGTGTACTGACCCATGTCCATGCTCTTGGATGCTCTGTTGCGAGGTCTGTTGTCGTCTGCGTTCTCGTGACGTTCCTTCTGAAACTCGCTGCAAAACAACAGTGACTTCAATAGATCGTTTTTGATCAATATTCTCTATTCTTCTCATTTTCAGGTTCATATTTGTATCAAGTGTTTCTACTTTAATGCTCAAAAAGCTCTTTATTTTTCTCATACTGCTTGTGCTGCAGTGTGTGGGAGAGACACTTTGGGATCGTAGCCTTTGCAGACCATTTACATGCACAACTACCTATTTAACACACAACAGGAAAGGGAACAAGCATGATAGGGTCTCTTTAAATCAGTGCAGCAGGAGTGCAAAAGTATTTTAGTGACTTGCATCACCCGAACAAAGAGTAAAAGTGATTTAAAGCCCACACACAAACAACAGATCATTCAATGTCCTCGTCTCCAGATGGCACGATTCAGTAAAACAATTGCATCTCTATTGAACAGTTACTGACGCCAGACTCTGACCACACATTCAAAAACCCTTACTTACATGTATCATAGCTCTTTCCAAGCTTTACTCCTTTGTGCTATCACTACAATTAAGTATGCATAATGCAAATAGGCTATTGCAATGAGCCTGTATGGTCTAAATAATGCATGTGATATTGAGTGTAATGGCTCTGCTCTATCTCATAACACCGCGGCACATAATAAGAGTGCCATTAGAATATAATAACTGTTATGGAAATAATTATCATAGACGCCAATTTGTAACATACAGGACAAACCTCGATGTCTGTTTACCTTCTTTAAGGACACAGGCGGCTTAGCCAATAATGTTATTGTTCCCATTCTGTGACCGGTCAATACTGGGATACAGATGGTCTGTGTTGTGGGTACACTGGGACACTTCCTTCTCTGTATTTCTGGACTCCAAGGTGAAATCTTCGAGGTCATAAGTGTCCGACGCAAGTAGCTCAGTGTTCCCACACTGTTTAGGCTATCTTCTCAAATATGTTGTTTACTCTCTGCGAAACCAGTTAGATGGGCTGGCAAGAGAGAGGCTCTCCAGAATTGACGTGGCAACTCTACCGTGAAGTCAGAACCTCTGACTCTTGGATTTGTGATGTGAATACTCTGGTACCAACTCCAAATAAATCACAGTGGTTTGACATCAAAGCTCCGACTCTTCCCGTGTCTCCTTCCTGAGTCGGTGACTCCACTGCATGCTACACAGAAGTTTCCTCTACACTAACTGTAGTGCAACATGCTGACGGTGCAGTGTGTGAGGTACCTGTGGCGGGGGGGAGTTTGGGTTGAGTCTCTGTTCATTTCCTCCACAGAGCCGGGGGAGGGGGGTGGGGGGAAGCCGCCGTCGTCGTAGTAGTCTTCGTTGCCGTAGCTGCCGTTTGTGGTCGCAGCGGGAAACGAAACTGAGGAGGAACAAGAAACCGCTTAAACTCCAAACTTGGAATAGGTGTTGACGAGACGCTCCTAATGCCAGTGTGTGTATGGGTTCTAAATATGGTGCGTCACCCTTTTGAATTAGGTGTGGAGTGATATTTAAATATTGACAGTATGAAAATCAGTGTGTTGAGGATCAAAACAGAGCACATCATCCCCAAACAGATGCCACCATCCCCCCACTGTAAATACATTTGTTGTTATCCCCCTACTGTATAACATGACTGTAGAGCCAGTCTGATGGAGAGCTGCCTCAGTTAGATGCATCCCATCATCCCAGAGGGTGAGGAAAGGGGAGATGAGATAAAGAATGCATTTAAAACTGTCCTTAACACGACATGCTGCACAATACTCTGAATGCAAATACGGCCCACTTAGAAGCCGTTTCATCAGCTTAATGATTCCAAGGTCAGATATTTTGCACATGAAAAGCGAGCGCCGCGTTCGGAGAAAAGAGGAGAAACACAGGTAATGACTTCCCTTTCTCCCGCTATGAATATGCTGCGAGGAAACAGATAGAAGGGGAGCCTGGGAAAGGTGTGTTTTGTAAAGAAGCAATGTCAAGAGCATTGGCTGGGTGTCACACACACACAGGCTGACAAACAGTGTGTGCTCAGAGGCAGATAACGTGCGTACACAAACACTCAGCCGCATGTTGACTATCTGACAGCTCAAATGGACAAACATTGTGTGGCTCACCACTTCCAGAGTTGACGTTGTTGTTTGCCATCGTCGGATTGAGTCCCCCGTTCATGGTGGGCTCCGTGTTGGGGACTCGAGACGGCCCCTGGTACGCACTGTGGCCCCAGGAGTCCTGTGGACAAGGAAGAGCAATGATGAGAATGGTTAATATGCTAAAAATGTCTCAAATTAAAGCCAAAGTTGTCGTGAAAAGTTCATGATGTTGCCTCTATTTTAACACCCAGCAGAATGTCTTTTTTATTCCTTTTGTTCATCTAATTCCAGACAATGTTGTGCAGACATATACAGAATGAATGCTATTTAATTCTAAGCAACAAGGCGTGAGGATGATAGGGAAACATTTGAAATAGTAAATGGTTTATTAAATGATCATAATAAACTGGCTCGCCCACCTAGATTTAAGATTAAAGGCTGTGAATATATATGGAGAACAACATTGTAGGATGCTCTTCAGCAAAGTGAAGATAGGGTAAACATTTAATTGGATGACGTTAAACCTGTTTTATGTATTTGTATTGTTAGGTTATATTTGTGTATGTACAGTTGTGAGGGTTAGGTTTGAAAGCAGCATGTTGCATTAACATAACAGGTAGATACATTTTGGACTAAAGCGTTTTACATTGTCTAGAGAAAGAGACTTTGTAGTTCAATCCGATATACACCTACTATGCCAGAAAGGAGGATTGTACATAATTATGTAGTAGGTACATCTCGCAACCAATCAATTCTGAGACACCTCAGACGGTGATGTGGGAGCTCTGAGGAAACAGATTTAGAACAATCCTCTGGGGGGTGGGACATGAGGAAAATATCACAAAGTAGAGAGTTGATCATAATTGAAGGAAGACATGTGTCATCCATTCAGACAAAAGACATTTCCTTAATGTGTAAAGGCAGAGAGACGTTGTCATGGATTAAATATCTACACACAGCACTGTGCCTGAGTTTATTTTTGATAGGGTTGGCAAGAGGAAGTGAACTTTGCACATGCTGTGTCTTACAAAACATTTGGGATTCAATACGTGGAGTATAGACAATTATAAGAAAAGAAAGGCTTTATATCCAGACTTCCTTTAGCTAAAGGCGAATAAGATTTAAGACTTTTTAAGACTTAAATGGCACTGGGAATGACATTTAGTACCAACCTAACAATAACCTAGATTGAAGGTGTAAAAACATCATTTTGAGTTTATTGTAACATAACATGTGACAAAATACCAGTGTTTTTAGGTCTGCTATCCTGATCGGCACGACATCTATTTTATTATATTATTCAAGAACATTTGCTAATTAATAAAAAAAAGATTTGACCAATTACTTTGGTCAAATCTGCAATGTCATAAGAAAACAGCTCAAAATCCTATCCATACTTTTTAAACTAGTAATTTATTTATTTTATACCAATTAAGGTTTTATTTAGATCTATGAATCTAAAGACTGTTGTAAGGGTCTGCGGGGACCCTGTATATATTTGTATACAGTATTTTTGTCGCCTCAGGCAAAAAACTGACTTCAAAACTGTAAGTGCAAAAACACGGCCATTCTCTTCATGTGCTCGATTGGAAACGCAGTAATTAAGACAACCCTGAGACAGGCATGTTATCGACAACACTACAAAGGACCCCCCAATGCCCCCACCCTCCAACATATAGAGATAGGGACTTGAATAACTGGTGGAGGATGAAAGAAGCCTGCTCTGGTCAGAGATGGGATCTACAGCTGTCACACACACACCTATACATTCAAAGAGAAATAATCCTTAGAAAGGTGTAGCGATATATATCTCCGTCGTATCAAAGCGTCGGGTGGGGTGTACGCACAGTGTCCCTGGGGTATCATTAGTAGCTACCATACGTGTTAATATATCACCACATCTGAGCTGTCAATCACTTTGAGCTCATATATGTGTCTACACAATTCTGACAGCTTTTCTACATGAGACATAAATCACATCGTCTCCATATCCGCCCGCCCGTCCGTCTCCACCCGCTGCGTCTCGCCCCCGGCTTTTGAAGCCAGACAGGCAGTCAGATATCTTAATCCCACAACAATAAGTAAACAGTGGGGGGGGGGGGGGGGGGGCATCTATGCAGTCAGCCCCAACCTACAGCTGCATACAATAGACTTCTGAGAGGCTTAGCCCCTGCCTCCACCCTACTGTGTCCCCCACCCCACCCCACCCATATTACACTCCACTCAGGATGGAAAACTAAGAAAAGGGGAAAGAAATTAAACAAACACAGAAATTATTTTGTCACAGGTACTTCGAACTGCACTTACCTGAATGACAGATGCTAAATTAAGTTGACATCACTGAATGTGATTTAATAATAGTGTCAGTTAAGCATTTCAATAATGTTTTATAAGAGGTCTTAATGTGGCTTTGAAAAGAACCTTTCAGTGTGATCTCATTTGCCGTCTATTGTAATATGTGCCAGAAATGGATACTACTCAAAATAGAGTCTCCTTACAAGTAAATCTACATTTGTGCTATTAAAAGCAACATTTACCCAGCTGTTGAAAATGTCAGGGACCCAAATCATCCAAAATAAGTTTAAATGTGACTAACAGAGAATTTATCTTTGTCTATTTCATGCAGCAATAAAACCTTTTGAGTGTTTTTGTGTTATTCTAATTAGGATTTAGGGTCATATCCTTAATGGAAATCTAACTCTAGACAGTTGGAGATGGGGGGGGAGACGCTGAGGGGCTGTGCTTTAGGGAGCGCTTGTTTTATCACGCTGCCTCACCCTGCCACCAGACAGGCTGGGTAGGGATGAGGCTCTTCAGATATACAGTGAACCTTGAACTGGCTTTGATAGCATTCATCTGCAGGCTTGGATAACTTAAACACACACACACACACACACTGATGGGAGTGTGGCGTGGAGGAGATGGAAACGCCACAATGGGCAGGTCAATGGCGTTAATACTCCCTCTCTCTCCCATTATCACTCAGCATCTGCTTTAACTGCTGCGACACATCTTTAAGAGCGTCTGA